AGTCAGGGCCGACTCAACGGCACATAACAACAACAACAACAGGCACCATGTTCAGCAAAGTCCCTCATCTCTATTTCAAAGATGAGAGCACGCTCAATTTGTTTGAATCACTGAGCCATTCTTGTTCAGTGGAATAAATCTTGTTCTTCCTAAGGTCAACTTCTCAATCTATGTAAGGGGATCTGATTGCTTTTTATCTTAAGGTCATATTGACAACTATTTAGAGTATTTCCCTGCTTCTTTTCAACCTCTTTTCAGGGACTGGACTGTGTACATTCTGAGGTCTCTTCTGGAAACAAAAATTAAAATACTCTCTCACTCTCCTACATTTACGTATAGATGTTCCCTTCATAGCCAACACTTATTTTCACTGCCTCACTTCACATACACTTGTCAACCCATTGTTGTCTGACCCTCAATCTCTACTATTTCACAAAAATCTACCTTACAGCAGCAAAATACCTTACAGCAGCATCTTTCTTGCTAAATCATAATGATTTGTCTATATTCTCCACTTGATTGTGAGATCCTTGGTGACTGTGACTTGGTCCAAGACAAGCATTCAAATGTCTGTTACAAGAAAGACTGGCTCAAAAACTAACAAAAAAAAAAAAAAGGATTTACATCTGCAGGAGAGCATTCTAATTGGGGTGCTAGGTTTCAAGGAGTTTATAAAGCATTGCACTCTACAGATAAGATTCATTGCTTTAACCTTTTCTGACCTCCAAAATTTTTGTACCCACTTATACAGTGCCTAAGATGTTTGACTGTTAACCACAAGGCTGGTGGTTCAAACCCACCAGCCACTTCTCGGAAGGAAGATTGAGCAATCTACTTCCATAGTGATACTGCCTCGGAAACCCAAGGAGAGGTCTCTATGAGTCAGATCCGACTCGAGGGCAATGAGTTTGGTTTTTTTGGTTTTTTTATATATGATAGTGATTTATAGGCTTACGAGTTCCTGGGTGGTGCAGTTAAGTGCTTGACTACTAGTCAAAAGGTTGGCAGTCCGAACCCACCCAGAAGTCCTTCGGAAGTCAGGCCTAGTGATTACCTTCCAAAAAGGTCACAGCCTTAAAAACCCTATGGGCAATTCTACTCTGCACTCACTGGGTCACCATGAGTCAGAATCGGGATTGATAGTAAT